GTAAGCTAGCTGAGACCTGCCTGTGACCGTGACCCCTGATCGTAACCTGATGACCTGTAGGTGCGCGTGGTTCAGTCCGCCGAGCTGAATGTGACTAGAGCTGTGAAATAACCAGTATCTGACGTTGACCTGACTGGTGAACTGATCGTGATCTGACTGTGACCTGACTGACCTGTAGGTGCGCGTGGTTCAGTCCGCCCAGCTGGATGTCACTGGCAGCGGTACCGCCGCCGCCGCCGCCGCCCGCCTGTTGGAGATCGATCATCTGCCTCTTGGCCGTCTCCTCATCGCCTTTCTGCTTCCGTTCCTTGGCGCGGCGGTTCTGGAACCAGATCTTCACCTGGGGACAGAGACAGGGCGAATAGGATTCAGTTTCGGTGGTGCAGACATGGCGGAATTGTTGTAGGTTCCTTCGGAGTCGAGACTTTCATAATTAAGTGAAGTTTTCCTGCCATGAGCTAACCAGCCAAAGGGAGAGCAGATTAGCGATCGAATTGAGCTGTTCGCTATTTGAGAACACTGAAAGTAGACGAAGAATATAACTTTGAAGAGTGAAGAGCATTGTAGAATATTTGAGTCAGGCTTTCCACATGAGCATTTCTACTTTTTTTACTCGGAGAGGTGTGAGAATGTTATAAAATGTGCGACGGAAAATGTGTGAAATGCGCAATTCCCATACGTAAACAGAATGCCACGCTTGTGATTGGGACGTGGTACGCAATATGACAGCTCAGGGAATGACAGTGCATCTAAGCACATAGTCCAGGAATGCGGGCAAACCAGCCGCCCTTTATTTACCCTATATCATCAACGGCATATCATTTATCTCCGGGCTTATTAGACTGTCCACTGTCCATGGCCCCTCAAGCACCCATCAAGCACCACGATAAAACACAATATTTCTTCCTAGTAGCTGGCTGATGCCTGCTGATGGCAGAGCTCATGACATCTGACTCGTATTCCTGCACCTATATGCACCACCACACCCGACTTGGATCGACAGGTGCCGAGCCGGTTCACCGCCAGTTCGCAAAACATGTGACCGCGGCGAGGTGCGACCTCCGACCTCCATCTCACCCCCTATTTCTGGGAGAAGGAGGCCGATCCCTCCACCTCACTCACTCTGCACACCTGACTGAACGTCCCTCCGAGCCCCGGGGGCGCTACTCAGAGGCCGGAGGAGCGTCCGAGGAGGCCGCGGTCGCCGTGCCGACCTTGGTGTTGTTAGCGCCCGCCATTAACACCCCGGTACCGGCGGCCGGAGCTGGTCGGCGATGCTGCCGCCCCCGGAATGCGCCCTCTCGGTCTGAATCAGGCCCGGACGCGGCTCACATACACACTCACACGATCACTGGTCAGCGGGTGTGAGAGATGAATCAGACGCACCGCTGGTCACCATTCGAGGAATCCGCCGCGTCCCATGTTCCCGGCGCCCCGCCCGGGCCCCGCACATGCGACGTGTTCGCCAATGAAATCCGTGGGTCTCCGCGGATCTCAGCCGGTCCAGGGAGGCCCGGGCCAGCGCTCCGCGATTCCCGACGGGCCGGCCGCATCCTCCGACCCGAGCACACCCGGGCAGACTCGATTTATTGCCTCGGACGTTCCGGGCGACATTCTTGGTCGGAATTGGATGAGGCCGGCCCTCCCAGCTGACGGCAACAGAGCCCGATTCAGCCCGGCGGCGGCCGCGACCCTCCCACGAGAGGACGTCGGCGTCGACACGGCCGACGACGACGACGACGTCGCGAGGAATCCGAGACGCGACGCGTGCGCGACACATGTCTGGGAGAAATTGGTGGCATTTTTGGGCCGGCGATATCTGCATTCCATGTCCTGAATCGTCCCATTCAGAGGAGGCGTTTCGGATGTTCGTCCCCTTGTCCTAAACGGTGGAAGGCAGCAGTGTGGCATGCGAAAACTATGCGACTGTCCGGTCCCTAAAAATTCAGGCATAATGCTTACTCAGCTAAGCGATCCATAGGTGCTTCGCAGTCCTGCATTGCACCATAAGTGTGATAAAACAATCTGCTGAGCATTGCATGTGGCGTCATGAAAAACCCGAGAGCGAAAGGAATGGGCGAATTTTCCGCCGCTATCTTTACGATAGCCCAATCTGGGATCACCCCTTGAGAGGGAAGTATTGAGCAGGATCTTTGCCGTCTCAGAGGTGGCTTAGCCAGTTGAGAGGACGAGGAATTAAATTTATCGACAATAAATAATACGTGAAGCGTTTCAGTTTTTTGCAATAACCGCGTCCGCCCAAACCACACCACCTACAGACACGATTCAACCACCAATCGACAGCTCTCGATCGTGGCTATGTGCGCGGCACATTTTTAATCGCATTTGCACCCCCCAAATAGCCAAACTCGGCCCCCCGACTATGTCGTCCGACGCTCCAGAGATGGCGCTGACTGTCTGCGTGACGTCAGCTCACACGACCGGCGATCGCCAATCATAAAACGTGCATGTCGCCGCTGGACAACCAATTCCAGCGTACTGTCTTGCTTTTGCCCTCTTGTTCTGAAAATTTGGTCAAGAAATATGGCGTATAACCTTCATTTCACACCAAATTTGCTCCCAACCACTTCGCCGTAAAACGCCGCAATACGCACCAGACCATGTCATCAAGCCGTGCGGGGTACCATGCCTTATTCAAAGCGCTTATCCATGCGTCCTTGGTAGCTCAGTTGTTAGAGTGGTAACCTCCTGTGGGATCGGTCGCTGGTTCGATTCCAGTCCTGCACGTTTTTAAAATGCACATCTTTAGTTGCAGTACCCGGCCGCTAGGGTCGCGACCCCGTAGAGGTCGCTGCGGTCCCCACGTGACCGACCGGCCGCAGCCACGGGCCGGCGGCGGCGCAGTGTGGGGCGTGCGGGCGGAGGGGTTGGTGCGGTAACTGCGGTGCCGCCAGAGCGGCCGCTTCCGGACAGCGGAAATGTGGCATGATACAGACATGGGAAGGGGGGTAGGTAAATGGTGGATGGATGGATAAAAAAATGATGGAGGGAGAGAAGGAAGGGTAAGTGAGCAAATGATTGAGTCGGTGAGAGAACAAGTACAGAGGATGGAGCCGAAAGACGTTTTTAAAATGCACTTACAGCTTAGTTGCAGCACTCGGCCGCTACGAATAACTACATTACCGATCCTGAGTGGCGGGCGGGGGGGGGGGGCGCGAGGTACCCAGATTTGGGATAGGTTGGTTACAGAATTCCACAAAATTTATGTTTAGTGGGGACAGGGAAGGGCACAGGGAAGGGCACGGGGATAGGACGGAGACGAAGACGGAGACTGAGATGTAGCGGCCAGCAGGAGCGGGGACGGAGACGGAGACAAAGAGAGCGGGAGCGGGAGCGCGGGAACGGGGACGGAGACGGCGACGGAATCGGAGACAAGACAGAGACAGAGGCGGAGACGGAGATGAAGCGGTCAGCGGGAGGGGGATGAAGACGGGGACGGAGAAAGAGAGCGGGAGCGGGAATGGGAGCTGGGACGGGAACTGGGACGGAGATGGGGATGGAATCCGAGACGAGACAGATACAGAGACAAAGGCAGAGAGGGAAGACGGAGACGGAAACAGAGCAGGCATAATTATATCTTTAGCACTGAAAACATTACCGATCGTGAGTGGTGGGTCCCGGGGGGGGGGGGTGCAGAGGGAGGAAGGCGGGGGAGGGTCGGGGCGAGTCACTCATATGTGGGATAGGTTAGTTACAGAATTCCACAAAATACTGAAAAAATAGCGATCATGTTTAGTATTACGAGCGTACCAATATACGTATAGCGTCTTGAACTGGGACATAAAAACGTATATGTAGGTATCTGCGGCGCGGGCGGGGAAGAAGCCACTAGCCAGTACTTTTTTCAGTACTAAGAGGGGATTGGAGTGGAGGGGAGAGGAGGGGAAGGGAGGGAGTGGAGGGAAGGGGAGGAAATCGAGGAAGGGAGGGAAGGGGAGGAAATCGAGGGAGGGAGGGAGGGGGAGCGAAGAAGTGCGATGAAGGAGACGGGGAGAGGAGGGAGAGAGACGGATGGGGAGGGGTAAGTAAGCATACGATTGGATCAGTGATCGACAAAGTCAGAGAGCGGAGAGGAGGGAGGGAAGAGGGATGGAGGCAGGGAGGGAGTGAGAAAGGGAAAGGAAAAGAGAGAGAGAGAGAGAGAGAGAGAGAGAGAGAGAGAGAGAGAGAGAGAGAGAGAGAGAGAGAGAGAGAGAGAGAGAGAGAGAGAGAGAGAGAGAGAGAAAGAAAGAGAGAAAAGCGGGCATTATGGACGGGACGGACAGGGATTTCTATATAGATGTTCAAACGACGATTAGCGCCGGTAGGCGCGGGAGGGTGACCTAGTCGCTCCGTCTGATTACGTGATGAAATCTGAAATCCTGCCTGCTCATGCTGATTGGATCAGTGCAATTAACTGAATTTGTTAATTATTGATCAATGATCAGCACACCTGAATAGCACATAATTCTCATCTGAAATATATAACTGATGAAAAACCGTACAATCCTCATTGCAAAATGAACGTTTGCTTGATATGCGTTAGAGTATGCCCCAACAGAATGTGGCTGTTCTAACAATCAACCCATTTCATCTGTGTTGTTCAGCTGTTCAACCCATTGTACTGTTCAATTGTTCAGCTCTTTAAACCACTCGTCGTACAGTATCATAAACAGTGAACACACCGCCCGGCAGAGCTCTGTCGAGTCGACCCACCTGTCGATCGGTTAGGCCGAGGATGCGCGACAGCTCCAGCTTCCTCTTGATGGTGATGTAGTTGTTGTAGCGGAACTCCTTCTCGAGCTCCAGTCGCTGGGCGTCGCTGTACACTACGCGGTACTTGTCCTTGGTGCGGGTCTTCCCTGTAACAACAGACGGCCAAGGGTCAGTTGGTGAGCAGCTGGCGAGAGTTGACGCCACTGTTTGTTTCGTGTTTGTCTGCGCATCTGTGATTATTCGTGCTTGAGGTTGTGGTGGTGAGTTGGTATGGCTTTATTGCATGCTTCTTTTTGCTAGACTTCTGGTTCTCCGATAATTTAATTCATGAATGATTATTTCACCCTGATTTGCCAGCTATCAGGGTCTGTCGTAGATAGTGGTGGCTATTGTCAATTGTCTCCGGCTATTGTTATTTCAGCTATTTATCATGATCATGGCAAGGAGTTGAATCGTTACGTCTCTGAATATACGGTGACGAGTAGTCGTGAATAAGTTTGTATTTGCTCAGGCACACCACAGAGACATATAGGCATCCATAACATACACGTCAAACGCGCTCCCACCAGCTCCCATCCCCCTCCCGGCGCGTGCCCTCCACCTGTCCGCTGGTCCACATTTCACCCCTATCCCTCCGCCCACCATTCGGCGCACCCCACCCCCGTCCCATCGCGCGCCGGGCTTCCGCCCTGCTCTGGAACAACGGAGCTGTCATCGGGCGGAGCCGCGCTCGGCGCCGATCGCCGCGTCATTCATTGCGGAATCGATCGCCGCCCGCGCGCCGCCGCTCGCCCCGCTAATGCTCGACAATAAAGGCGTGTCCGGGCAGTGTCAACAGGACAGTTAGGCGCGGGATGCCGGCGGCCCGGCGGTCAGAATCGCCGCCCGATATCCCCAGCGGCGGCGGCGGCGGCGGGCTGAAAGGCATGTGTAACAGCGCCGAGAACCAATGGCCGCCAGGTGGGGCGCCCTGGAAGCGCTCAGACCAAGTGTTGGTGTCCCGTTGGCCACGCGCGGGCCGCGGTGGCCTCCGGGCGGTGTGTTACGATGGCCGGGGGCTGTGTTTCGGCGCTGTTTGTCTGTCCGGCTGGGTTCTCAGAGTGGGTTGTAACGGTCTGACACGGCCCAAACTGCCGACACAGAGTGCCCCGCACCGGTGCGCGGCCGTGAGGCTGTCACTGCGGGCGCAGGGGAGTCGTTAAAACGTTTATCGATCTGTGTGCAGTTGGCTGGGTCGCTGAGGTCGCAGTGGCTTAGAGGCTGGCAGACAGCACGTGGGAGGGCAGGAACCATTGGCCTGACGTGGATTGCATCATACGGCGATTTATCGTTCGGTTGGAAATGAGGCGTATGTTGAGGAAGGACATTTGGAAATAACTGAATAAATTTGCACGCATTATTTAGAAACCACGCTTCATTCCCGCTAGACAATTACATTTTCTGTATTCTTTTTGTGTGCGTCTTTTTGTATTAATTAAATAAGCATTGCAAATAGATTAGTGTGCAGCATATTGAGCCTGCCTGCAATGAATCAGACACTTTGCACAGGGCATTCAAAAGAACACGACTATCGACTGTGCGAAAAGCCGCCGTATCTGGCACAAAACGGACCGCCCTTGTCCGCTGTCAGTTCCGTCTCAGTCAGAAGCTGCGGACGGCTCACTGCGGCCGCTATCTGTCGCGAGCGGCGCTCTATCACCGCCCCCGCCCCCGCCCCGGGGCGGCGGCGGCGGTGCGGCTCGGGGCTGCCGGAGCCGCCTGATCCGGCGTCTGTGCGGCGCTAATCCGGCGACACTGGCGTCCCAGCGCCTCCTTCATAAATCCGTCCGCTCCAGACACGGCCGTCGTATCACGGCAGAGCTCCGCCCGCCGGCCCGCGGTCCGACCGGCCGGCCAGCGCCGCCCGAATCTAATCGCGTCGCCGCGACCGACGGCCAAACATGGCGGCCTTTTGAGGCGCCGCTATCGCCGCGCCGCGCCGAGTCGGCCGCACTCGGCGCGGCATATTAGCGCGCCGCTATCACGACGTCGAGCGGTAATTAAATCTCAGAGTGCAGGCCGCGTGCACTGCTCGCCGTAGGCGCCTCCTGATTGGTCGACGGCCCAGTCGGCTGATGGTGCGAACGCGAGGTGTGAACTGCAGGTGATAATGCGGCTCAGAAGTGGGAGCGATTGCCAGTGTGAACGGGTTCGTTCGAGTTGTCGACGCTTTTTGCACTGCCTTTATGGATGGGTAGTCACATTGTGGGCGAGGATTAGTGTTATTTGGCTGATTAGACATCTCAAAGCACCTTACATCGTGATGTTAAGAATAGCAATAACTTAACGAAGTCAGTAATCGTAGGTATGTAATAGAAATTGCAAAATAAATGGCAGTGACAGTTCCAGCAAGTGAGTGACTCACAATTATTTTCAAAACATCAAATCTTAAGAATGTTTACCTTTTGCGAAAAATATCACAATTTGAGCACATATTTCAAAGCCCAAAAGTGTTCAAAAAATTAACACCAGTATAAACAATTTGATTCCTAGTTGGCCACAATTTTGACAATATCATCACTAACATCTAAACATCAATAAGCTCCGCTAAACCCTTCTGTCCCACATCACCCAAATCATGTCGAACTGGCCCAAACATCACATGCTAACGCCGAAGCGTGAAACGTCTCGCCGCCCCTGACTGCGGTTTTCCGCTATATGCGTTCCGCCGTGCTCCGGTGTAGGGCGGCACAGTCTACCTACCGCGCGGCCTGAGCAGTGAGCAGTTAGGGATGGCGAGCGACGGACCGGTGATTTTGGGCGCGGCGAGCCCGATGATTTTCAGAAGGTTTGAGGAACTGAATTATAGTGGAAACTGGGAAGGGTGGAAACTGGGAAGGTCTTATTGGTTATTCTAAGCATTGCAATGTGCAGGTTCAAGATAACAGCAAAAACTGCTTCCAAAAGCGTAACTATGCAGCTTCGGCTCACTTCCTATTTACGATATCTGAGTCCATTGTGAGAATACTTCTAAAATGAATGGCCTGTTTGCTAAAACATCAACCATGTCCATAAAGCAGAGAAATGAAGAGAAGATTCCTTTAGCAGCATGGCTGTTGTCTCCGAGAAGACATACTCTGAAATATCAACCGCACGAGGAAGCAACCGCGATACAATGTACAGGGCAACATGACAACCGCGCTATTTACAGCGACTGAAAGCCAAACGACAATAAAACACCGCCACCCCAGCGGTGGCTGAAAGAAGAAACCTCAGAACAGCGCCATAAACCGACGTGGAAAAGGTCTCCCGCCGATAATTGCACACCGTTCTGCACCGCAATGGTAAGTGCAGTACATCTTCACTGACTGCACAGTATACATTCATGTGATTCGGTTTCCGGAGGAGTCATAAAACTGTCAATTGTCATAATTACGCAAAGAGAATACTTGCAGAAACGTTTATAGCCAAGATGGTAAAGACCGACAAGGCTCGATGGTGCACTGCTTCTGATGAATATTTGACCAGCCAGAGTCTTGTGAAGGCCAATATTAGCATAGACCGACAGTAAAGCGCCGAGTATGCAGTCATCCTCATCAAATCATAATCCCATTCACCGTCAACCAGCGATTATTGTCTTCCTTCATTGGGCCCAGTCATAAACTCGAGCTGTCGATAATCTCCGAGCAGAATATCGTTTTATTACGATCTCGGCTGGGCGCACAAATCACCTATCGTTTGCCTTATTCATACCTACGTCCCGGCGAGGCGGCGCGGCGGTGGCGGCGCGCCTCCCGCGCACCGTTCGCCGCCAGGTATATCGGCCGGCCGCGTCACGTGACTTGTGGCGCGTGACGCCGCCGCCGCCGCCGCTCGCGTTTACAGCCCCAATAAAAACAAAAAATCCATCCTCCCCGGGCCGAACGCCGTAAATGGAATCCAAGATGGCGGCCGGTGGGCTAATCAGCCGGCGGCGAGCACCGGCGCGCTGCCGCCCCGGCCGCGGCGTTAATGGCGCGGCAGGCGTGCATGACCGACAGTCACGTGACGCCAGCTGCTGCACGCTGATTGGCTGCTGCTGCCAAGCAGGCGGTCGTTTGAGTGACCCCCAAGGGGCTAATTTCAATTCAGTAACAACCCCTCCAACGCCGACTGCAGCGTAAATCTTACAGCCTTTATTAGCAATGTCTTAGTCACTTGTAGTCTGCAAAGACATTATTTTGCCTAATCTGTTAATGAAGACAAGAAAAGGGCCGGTAAAAAATAGTGAAAAGTATGACGGAGCGAGCTGATTACGAGCAAGCGAGCGCAGCGAGCAAAGCGAAGTCTCTTTAATATAACGGAAAAATCTCAGCATAAGCGGTCCGACCCATCTCGGCGTAACGCTTTTGAGAGGCTTAGAACCCAGCAACCCCTGGGCCGACTTACTTGCGGTATTTTTTTTTTTGTAGGGTAGTTTCCTTCCTTCTGCAAAGTATAAGACTATTTTGATACATATCGATGACCCCTTATGCACGTGCCACAGCCACAGGCAAAACGAAGAGGTGTCAGTTTTGTAACAATTGCCATATCCCGATAACCACTGGGCCGATTGCGCTAAAAGTTGGCATATAGGTAGGCAAGGGCACCCTCTAGGCAATGCATTTCCATGTGCCACAGTTGGGGCGCAGCTGCACGTGCGCACGTGCAGGTTGCCGCTCTAAGATCTCAAGAATGGCTGGGCCGGTTACCTACGCTCCAATTTGGCACATCGCTTGAGACCGGTTAGTGGGGTGCCGTGCACAGGTCAGTTGGAAGTATCCCACCCCCGCAATTCCGCACGTGCAAGACTCACCCCCTCGCTCGCTCGTTTGTCGCCCCAAAAAAACGTTTTACTTTGTATTCGGTGGTCGCTCGGTTTAGAGCTCCCTCCTAACTATGCTACAGAATCGTCCAGTGATGTATGTAGAATGTAGAATGATGATGTAGAATGATAGTAAAAATAATTGCCTACTATACCAGCCAACAACCACGCAATCTTCCGCCACTGATTTGACAATTGACAACTTGACATTACACGGTCTTCACATTGCAATGCACTCGCCCGAATAAATTCGTTTTGAGTGGTGTCAATTGTCATGCTCAGTGACTCCGCTCCGATCTCAGTGCAGCTTATCCCGAGTCTCGC